TATAGTAATTTATATATAGAACTGCGTCACGTTTTACTATGATCATTCTTCAGTTGACTGGAGAATCGTCAATTAAAGTGCTTTATAGAAATACAATATTAAAAAAATCACTACAAAAACCATTTTTTACTTTGATATAACATCTATATTTACTATACAAAAATTATATATAGTATAGTGCAAACAATCTAGTCCCAACCAATAAAATTGATGTAATTTAAATTGCTAATTCTTTTTCAAAAAAAATAGTAACCAAAAAATACCATCTTTGTAATAATATTAACTCTCCCTGATGATCACTTGTATCAAACTTACGGCTAACAAAAACAGAAACTTATTGGAGAAAAATAAAAAAGACAACTATAAATAATGGTTTTTACAAAGGTTAAGAATTTTCATGTTTCTTCCTGACTCCTCTGTATATTCAGTATGTAAGTTAAAAGTATTCTTATACAAGATAACTGGCAAGAAGGTGGTGCTCTTATACAAAAAATTTTAATAGAAGCTCTGCTTCTGCTGATAAAGTTAAAGATAGTTGGTCTAAGGAAAACAACAAGCAAGTTTTCAATACATTCTTTACCAAAGTTTAAGGCTACCTACAAACCGAAACCCTCTTTTATATCTCTATTCTTAGTTTTTACGAAATTTTTCTAAAAAGTGAGAAAAATAGCATATTTCATCAAAAGATCACAACAACAATCACTGCCAAAAAAGGAAAGACACATACACATATACATGTCTACTTTTGATTATAGTGTAAGATAATGTAATAATGGTTGAAACATTGCAGAAGACATGTCGATGAAATGGTATAGCATCTAGAAGTTTCAATCCTTGGAGCTCTACTTCAAGACCGGATGGTTTTTGATATTTTTATATCCTAGATATAGATATAAATAACTAGCGTAGAGTTTAGTCTAGGTTATTTGTAGTACTATATAATTTTTACAATTTTATACAGGTTTAATAATGCTATCTTTGTTTTTTTTCTTTTGTTTTTTTTTTTTGTTATTTATTTTATTTGGTTTTATTGATTTAGATGAACCAAAACTAGGGTTGTTAATGGAGTAGCTTACTCCGAAGCACTCCGGAGTAGAATCCAACCCAAATTGGAGTGGATTTAAAATTATACCTTTAAATTTGGAGCAACCTGGAGCAACCCGGAGTACTATAAAGCAACTTGGAGCAAAATATTGGAGTAGGTCTAATTTAGTGAAGTGGGTTAAAGACTGTGTCAACCCAAACCAACCCAACCCAACCCATTAACAACCCTAACCAGAACTCAATGTCATAGTATTTCCTTATTTTTGTTATGCTCTTTGTATTTGTGTTTGTATTTTGTTTTATAAAAAGAAAAGTTAATTTGGATACGATATATAGCACCAGCCCATGACCAAAGAATAACCTCTAGTAAGTTAGAGGCCCAAAGAGAAGCTTGAAGTCCACTGAGGCAAGTCATATCTGACAAAAGCATAGTATGTCACTTTACAGGTAAATTAAGTATAGCTATTATTAGGGAATATAAATTTCTTAGTATAGTTTAATCTCAATAAAAAATAGCAAAATAGTCGAATTATAAAAAAAAAACAAAAAATATTATCTTAAAATATTAAATCAAAACAAGCTAAATACTCTCAAATTCTTAAATTTTTTTTTAAATCTATTTATAAAAAAGTTATAACAAGTTGAAGTTATAATATTTTATAATTAAATATAAAATTTGGCCATTTTTATATATATAAAAAATGTAAATTTTGCCTTTTTAAACAGATACATCTATGTGCCCACCACCCAAAATGGAAATGATCAGCATTGTTTATATTATTTCAATACGTATTTTATGTTTTTTTTAAAAAAATACTGTTAATTAGTGTTAGGGTTAGTGATAAGAAGGTAAGAGTAGAGCTTTAGAAAAAAATATACTAAAATTTTATGAGGAATTTTTTTTGTTAGAATGAAGAAGTTAGTTTCATAAGTAAAATTTCAAGATAAAAGCGATTTTTTAAAAAAACGGTTAATTTTTTTAATTTTAACATTACACACAGATTGTTCGTGTAAATTCAACGTGATGAACACTGATTAGATAAAAAGCATAATTTCTAAATCGGGTGGTAAGCACATAGATGTACCCTTTTTAAACAATTAATTTTATTTTTATATATATTAAAATTTTAAATTTGACCACTTTATATATAAATATTGGCTAAATTTTCAAATTGGCCTCTTTATATATATAAAAAATAATATCTAAATTTGGACACTAAAAATTTTTATTGGTTGGGACTAGGTTGTCCACACTGTATTAAAATTATGAACTATCTTAGCATCACTGTAAAAAAGTTACTGTCATGTGATAATCAATGTGAATTATCCAATATCGAGTTTCGCTTTAGTGTTACATAACACAATCCAGAAGATCAAAACAAAACATTCGCTTTTTTGAAAGTCACTTATTTTGCCACCTTTTGAGCTCTAACAAAAAATTTTCTTTAAGCAAATTTACTATATGCCCGCTAATAATTCGTTACGGTTACTGTCACGTGACAGTAACTTTTTTACAGCAATGCTGAGGTGTAAAACCAACATTTTTGATACTCTTGCACCTACTTTTTTGATACAACTAAACATACCCTAAAATTAACCAATAGGATTGCATATTATTATAGTAAAAGTTAGTAAAAAAGTATATAAATTTTAGGATATATTTAGATGTATCAAAAAAGTAGGTGCGGAAGTATCAAAAATGTAGGTTTTGCTGCTGAAGAAGATAAAATTATGGATTTTCCCTCCAGCACGGATTTCCCCTCCAGCACCCACAAATTTTTCCGAACACGTGATTTTTATGTCACTAACGATAGAATTTTTAAAGTTCGTTTATATTAGGGTTAGCGTTTACTTTAGAGTTAGATGTTAAACAGATTTATAGTAAAATTCCTCGAGAAAAATTTTTTATTAAGACGCAAAAGGTGATTTCTTATGCTTATTTTCAAGAAATATGCAATTTTTGACTTTTTTTTGACAAAGCGAACGTTTGTTTTGAATTTCCTGATCGTGTAACGTTACACCTGATCTTGAAAGTGGAAAATCACGGGTAGATCTACAAAAATTAACCAATCATATAAATGTCTTCCTATGATTACTGTAGTACATTAGACACCCCAATATTACGCGTATCAATTTCGCGAATGCAAATATCATTTCATACCATATGTCAAAAGAAAAACTTATTCCTTACTTTGATTATTTCGACGAATATACTGTTGATAGTTGGTCCTACTCAGGCTTTATCCGCTGCGCTCTCGACAAAAGGTTACTTCCGTCTGATCCTATAAAAGTCTATAATTATAAGTACAAAAAATGTCTGGATTTTATCGAACAAAATTATGATCCTTTGAAGCGTTCAAAGGCAATTTCATTAAAAGGATCGTTCAAGGTTAGTATATTTTGTGTGTAAATGAGCATAACCTGCTAACAGCACAGCTTGGCTTCCAGCCAGGTCAATACTATACAAAGTGTCCTCGCGTCACTTTGGGTTTCCTTGATGTGTTGCTACTATTGTGCTCTGTTAAAAACGAAGCATCGATACTATACGGGGTGTCCTCGCGCCACTCTGGGTTTCCTCGTCGCATGATATACGGTTAAAAATGTATATATTTTATTGAGAACGTTTATTAATTTCATCTTTATCTTGTTTTTTTTTAATTTCATATTCCTTTTTGAGCTTGATAAAAAAATGGAAAAAAATTGGTTAGTTAACCTTATTGAATTAGCAAAAAATGAAGAAACCGCAGAGGTGAGTCAGGAATATGAAATTAACTTTCTGGTAGTTTGTTCTAATAATGATATGAATTATTTGCATAGCACGAATATCATGCATCGCTAAATGAAGATGTAAGGAAAGAGAAGATGGCGTACTCCAGCTACCTGTTAGAATCACGGAAATCCAAGCACCAAATTGACGGAGTAGAAGAAGTGACATCAACCAAAAGGGTGAGTCTAGTTCATGTACAGTTTGTAAATCAAATTAAATTGTGCAGATAACTGACATATTATATATGATGAAATCAAGCGAAAAGATTTAACAAATGTATCACTTGATGATAGTAGAAGTAATACTACCAACGTTGCGTATTCTGGAAAAAAGTTGGATGATAGGTCAATATTAGAGTCAGCAGATTCGAAAATGAATCAAGTGAATAATAATTTGCATTCTGTTCCATCTTCTAACGTTAATCGTGAAGAAGGTAATAAATCATCTTAGTTTTTGCAATATTTCTGAAGGAATCTAACATACATACACATATTTACATATATAGATATCGACCCTGAATATTACGATGTCAAGAAACGAGCAAAGATTCTTTATTCATGGGAAGATTCAATTAATAAGATTGATTTCAAAGATACTTCTAAAAAGGATGTGAGTACACAATGTGGTTGATGCCTTGTTGCATTCACCGTACATTAACTATCTATACTTATGTGTTTTTTCAGTGGATTCTTGGAAGTTATAATCTTTCTAGCGAGTTTCGGAATTTCCAACAGTCAACGATTCAACAGGTCAAAGAAAAGCCGTATTTATGTTATAAAAAAGATACTCAAAAAATCCTGTATGTATTTTATATATTTTGAATTGCGGGTTTCCTTGTCTATCATATATTTATTTATTTATTTTTTTTTTTGCGATAAATAGATGCCTCTCAAACATAATGTTGATTGAATCGATAAAACCAACGTACCTTACTTGCAATCATGAGATTTGGAATGAAGTTTGCCAAAGACAAACATATCCACGTTTATCATCAGTAATTAATAGTATAATCCTAGAATATTCTTTGGTAAGGTTTAATTTTCTTATTTATAGATTGATGTTCGTTACGACACTACCACTAAGTATCCTCTTTAATTCTAGTTGTTAAATTCTTTTACTCCACTGGATAAAATCCAAGAAAAATGGTGTGGAAATTTTTCCAGAATCGCAGAGTTGAATAATAAAGAGGACAAAGATGATTTTTGTAAATGTCAGATTATTTTGCGAAACTTGTAGGTGTTTCTTTATTTGTAAACCATTGTAATTGATGTAATACTAACCTTTTATAGTTTATTACTAAATTCTATTAATAACGATAATGAGGATACCTTTGTCCATGACATTTTACATGATATAATCAAAGAAATTTTTCGGGATTCAATGTTTGAATTAGTCTGGTAAGAATTTTGTTTATAATTATATAATTTTTTCTATTGAAATATATTCTATAAATCTTTTGATGTTTGATTTAAAGGGCAAATAGTGAGAGTTCCGTCTCAAACAAGGAAAACACAATCAAATGTAAAAAGCCTGATTTCAAGCTTATGAATAATAAGGGAGATGAAATTCTCTTTGGAGAAGTAAAGCCCAAGGACTCATTATCAATATCGGCAAAAAAAGATCTAGTTAAGCTTGCTAACTTCCAAACGGATGCTTTAAACGATTTAATTAAGAAATATGGAAACAAAATTGGCATGATTTCTTTTGGCATATGGGTATGTGGTAAGTGTAAACCTGTTTGACTTTTTAATGCATTACTATTACTATCTAAAATTTGTCCGTATTCATAGGTGCACGAATTCGTATTTACGAAATGGATTTGAATTACGACGGAATATATAGGATGATTTTAATTGCAAATATAATTACCCCAACGGAACATGCGCAATTTTTAAATTTGGTGACTGTGTTAGAAGCATTTTATAATATCAAAGTAAGTAGCCAATATAATGCATTACTTGAATGTGTGCTATGTTTGTGGTGCAGCAAAAATTCTTTAATGTTCATTTATGTTAGAGTTAGGATTAGAGTTATGGGTTAGAAAAAGGTAGTTTACATAGTAAAATTGTCCAACAAAAACTTTTTATTAGAGCACCAAAAGTGGTTTCTTATGTAGAATTTCAAGAAATAAATGTTTTTTGACAAAACGGACGTTTGTGAATTTTCTTTATCATGTTACGCTGCACCTGTAATTCAGTAAATCACATTCAAGAGATGCCAATATAATAATTATTTATCACTGTTGATGCAATCGTTTAACATATTTATTTTCGTGATTTTAAGCATCGTATTTCTGAAGTTTTAACGATAATCGCTTCCAATACCACGCCTAATTCTCCATCACGTTCTACCTATGGCAGGGTGTCCACCCCTTCGCCAAAACCTGTCAGGATTACAATTTCTGGTATACAACCAAATTAACTTTTTGCATTATTAAATAATGTTTTAAGTTTATATTAGAAAAATAGTTGGATGTACATCAAAAATTTTTTTCTCAACTAAAATTCTATAAACACATGATGATGAAAAAGATCAAACGTAACTTCATTATTAATAAAGTTTATCTTTTTTGGAATTTTTGACGGACGGGCCGTCGCCGGAATTTTTGCTACTTTAATAAATATATACAATTTAACACTGGGTTTGTCTAATTTAAAGCTACAAATTTGAGCTGATCTTTTAAAACAGATGGAAACGCGAAGCTGAGTATTGAATTAAAGTCAGATCGAATTACAAAAAATAAAATACCCATTTTTGCTGGAATTTATTCCGGTATATGATATTGATTTTATATTTTATTGTAATTACATTACCAAAAACTATCGCTGGTTTTTTTTTTTCTATAAAGCAACTCCTCGGCTGTAAATTCCAAACACTGAAACTGATACAAACCACATACCGTACCATAATTCATACGTACCGGTTTGTTAAAAAGTAAATTTTGGTAAACCACTGTTGAAATGTTGGCTTTTTCTTAAGGGTAGAGGTAGTGTTCCGAAAAAGATCCGGATCCGATCCGGATCCGCTTACGGATCGGGATCGAATCGATCCGGTCGAATATACCCGATCCGAATCCGTAATTTTCCGGAGCGTAGCGGAGGACGATCTATGGTGTAGTGATAGACCAGATTTTGTGTGTTATCATGTCCGCATCTATTTTTAGATCAGATGATCATCAATTTATCTAATTTGTCTGTTTCTATTTTTAGCTCTAATAAATAAATTCTTAGCTCCGGACATTTAACAGTGCCTGTTTTCCTAGTAATATTGCACGTTATCAAACGCTGCTTGGTTAATTTTTTTTAAATATCTTATTATATAAGCTTACAATACGTACGAAATCCGTTTGATTAGATACATACTTGTTATAGTTTTTTATATTATTTACAATAGAAAATTTTAGCCTAAAGTAGAGGCATTGAAAATTTCATAATTAAAGCTCCCTGAAATTTTATAAGATGGTTTTTTAAACGCTTAGCTTTTATATAAATGTTTGGGATCAAGTGGGATCAAGTGTTCCACCAAGTTTTATTAGAAGCGATTCTGACAATACTAGCATATAATACGATACCAATCTTATGCATTTTTTAATTTTTAAAGAGTAATACCTAATAAAAATAGTATTTTTGTCTTCAGAAGGTGCTAGAAAGTTAACTTTAAAATTAATCATTATAATCACATATTCAGAAAAGTTAGCTTAGACACGATATTCTGGAAGAGGTAAAGAAAAAAATCGTTGAAATCTTAAAAAAATGCATTAAAACTAAAAAGTTACAAAATAACTGCAATTTTTTTTCTTAGAGATTT